AAGAGAATGGACCAAAGCATTCTATATCCATCTATATCAAAATATTTTTTGTTATGAGTATATATCGCGTCAGTCAGTCTTCTTGACTTAGTGTTAACTTGAGACTTTTGCAAGAATGATTTCCAGATCTGTAATATTCTCCAGATGACGAGAGAAAGCTCAGTCCGTTTTCATCTGAAACGAGGACATATATATCGTGGACTACGTCAACCTAAACATCATTTTAAAACCAAATTGCTTAAGTAAAAAAAGATAGACCTACGAATCTCTTAATCATGCAAGTTCATATGAAATGAATGTCTCTACAACAATTTATTTCTATCCGCCTATATTTAAGGAATCGAGGAGAGCAGAGGATGGATCGAGATGGTCAGTGATCTTGACTCATTTAATGAGACAAAATGGTGACGCATGAACGGTAATCCATTTTAAGTCATCTTGGTATTCTAAAAGCGCAGCCAAGGATCAAGTGAAATGGAGAAGAGGAGGAAAAAGAGTGGAGGAGTAGAGATGGCAAAAGAGGCCGTTTAAAGGAATTGGTTGATGAGGAAGATAGGGAGACAAGTATTGTGGGATAAAAAAAGGGGTAACATGTGGAGGAGATCGGAAAATAGAAGCAAGAATAAAAATAGTAAAAAAATGGGTTCGAGTAAGAGAACTAAGTGTAAAAGGAGTAAGGAGAGGAGAAAGCAGAAGAAAAGTTAGAATAGGGATGCGCGCAATAGGGTGCAGATGTACGACCTGAATGAAGAGTATAAGGGAAGAGGGTAAGGTAAAGAATTGGAAGGAGGGGGAGGAGGAGGAAGGGAATAAGGAGGAAGAGAATGGGGTTAGGAAAGGGAATACTGAGTAGCCGAAAGAAAAGAGAGGAGAGGGTTAGCTGATACGTTGGAGGAAGAGGAAGAGTGGTTGTAGGGAGAAAGAATCAACTGGAGGAATAAATTGGAAGAACTAAAAGAGGAGAGGACGTATACTATTGCAAGTCAAGGAGGGCAGCATTAACAAAAAATTAGGAAGAGAAGTTGAGTGAAGAGGACATGGTGGATGAGTTGGATTTGCCGGAAAGGGATAAGAAATAGATGAAGAAAAAAAGAGGAGGAAGAGGAAGAGGGGGTGATAAAAAAGTAGACTTAATGAAAGAATACGGAGAGAGAAGCAGTTTTTTAGTTGAAGGGGCTGATGAAGAGGAAAAAGAAGACAAATATACAGAAAATTTACAACTGTAAAGAGTAAAGAATTAAAAAAAGGATGAGAAAGAAAAGGAAGATGTAGTGGTTTTAGAAAAAGAAGAAGAAGATGATGACGAAGTAAAAGGCCAGTGGGTCTATGAGTAGAGGTGAGTAGCAAAAGGAAGAGATGACAATAGACTCTGAATTCCACTTGGACCACTTGCTCTACCAAAAGATTCTACTTAACATAAGTGAGGGTATAGGGGTGGAGTTACTTTCAAAAGACACGTCGCTCTCGACATTGTCTTGCGGATTACCGGCTTCTTCTTTGGCGCCTCATCGTATCATTCACGCTTGTCAAGTCAGCTTAAACCAATTTCCAGTTGTATTCGGCTCTTTTTTTCAAAACGTCTTTACTTATATGTACGAAGAAGATGCGGGCTTCGTAGAATCTCCTAAGATAAGGTATATATGAATACTTTACTTTCGTATGGAAGTACATGATCAAGAGATTCGTAGGTCAATCTCACCAGAAGACGTCGGCTGATTCGCGTTGTACTGAAACGGTTTGGCATTAGTACGACGTTCAGGTTGATGTTGTCGACGAGACATGCTCCGACGTTTCGGGCTTCTTGACTTCGTGTTAACTTGAGGCTTTTGCAAGAATGAGTCCCAGCCTTGACAACATTCGCGATACGTCAAACAAAAGCTCAGCCTGTCTTCGCCTGAAACGTTGAAGGATGTTTCGTGGACTGCAGTAACATGAACCTACCAAACTGCTGCAGTAAAATGCGAATCAGCAAGTGTCTTCTGGTGAGACTGATGTACACATTTCTTCATCATGTACTTCCATACGAAATAAGAGTCTTCTCGTCAATCTGCTCTTCAAACCTGCGTCCAACCCGTATCGGCCTATTCCCAATCGGCGCCGCAACTGCCGAAAAATCCACCGAATTCTCCGCCCCACGCTCCAGACACGCTCGTTTGATTCTCATCGTTGGCACTACTTTTACTGCTGATTATACTATCATCAACGGCAAGCTGACGTCATAGTAACCACAATGATCACATTACTTTTACTTTTCTCCACACTAAAATGTCTCCTGAAGCGCAAGCATTTTTGTCATGACAACCGAAATGGATGTGTACTTGCGGAACATCGTCTTCTAAGATGACATTTGAAGTCTTTGTGCCACTTGCTATCGTCTGCGGCGTTGGGAGTTAGACATAACACTTGCCTGAAAAAAGGCCTCGTAACTCTCACATCTCAGCCGATGGAGTCTGAGACCGGCGTGATTGTGAATAGCAAAATACTTGCTAGGAGTTAGTTCTTACTACTTTTTGTAGTCTGTCTTTAATTTTTTGATCTAACCTCACCTTACTTTTAGCATACTTTATTTATACTGAAACTCCAAGTTTCATGTCAAATATAGATTGCCTACAAATTTCCTTTACATTCCCACCTGTCTATGCAAACGGATTGGCCAATTTTCATATCTTCCTTCTTGCGGCTGTTCATGCAGCGTGAAGATAATCACATTAGAACCACCATACATCTCGTCTCAACTCGAGCGTGCTGATAATTTTTTCTACCACTCGCGCTCACGCATTTCCCGCTTTTCTGTTAGTCAGTTCATAGATGATCTCACGCCGGCAGATGACACTATCATTCACCCCGAGTTGCTTATCCTTCCAGCAGACTTCCCCTTCCCAACACGATACCCAAGATCCTGGCAGGCCCGGGACGGCTTGTCGTTCAAGTCCAACTTTGTTCAACGGCGTCAGGTGTTTGGGGTCTCGAATCAGCTGAAGCGTGAACTTGGTCGAGAATTGCTGGAATTACTTTGCCGGTCAGGCCCGAAGCCTTGGGACCCCTTGGGACTCTGGGACCTCCGGGAGCCCTTTAGGACCCGGGGATCAATTGACACGACTGGCCCAGCAACCAGACTATCGAGTTAACCGCACCCCTCTTTTGAGCTTGCGCGCAGGCGATGCCGTCTTGGCGACTAGTATCAGACTTGCAGTCTGGCCGATATCCTGTCGGTGGGTGAAAACACGAGACAAACGACCAGAAAGACAACCGACCTCGGACGCCTCGATAGGTGTGTCATGACGACAGTCTAAAGCACCGGTTCAGGCCGGCTAGAAGGCTGGGCAGACTTGTGTGTTTTGGTACAGACTAACAAGCCGCGAATGTCGAGGGAGGATATAGTCGTCGGGGCAAAGTGGAGAGGTCTGAGAGGATGGCGATGAAGCTGGGGGTCAGAGTCTGAGAACCGGCATGCCTCACATGTCGGCCTAGGGCCAGGCGAAACGATGAACTGGAGGCCAATGACTGTGCTGTGGCTTGGCAATTCGACAATCGGAAGAGGTGATGAAACCGTTCCGGCCACGACCCCAACCCCGAGCATCACACACATAAACGCACATAAATACATAAGAGTGCGCATACACACAAGCATACGCACGAACGCACACCAAAAACCCGTGGAGTCGAGTACTTGTGTGCGTCAGCTGCTCTCGGTCTTTTGAACGTGGTCTGCGATCTCTGCCTCATCCTTGGCATGATTCTGCCGGTAAACATGAGGACACTAGCACAGAGGGTGGGCCGGGGTGTCAAAGCGATGACGGAAAGGAGAACAGCGTCAACCTAGCAACTGAAATTCTCCACCACATCCCCCTTCTCTCTTCTTCACGTCTTATCTATCTTAATTTATTTCTTCCCTCATTTAATAGGTTGATTCTCAGACCTCCACAACAATGGCTATGCTCTTTCTAGGCAGGAAAGTGTCCTCATAAAATGAACCACGAGATATGTATCTAAATATATCTATCTATCTACCTATATATATATGTCTGTCTATTCGTCTATCTATATGTCTGTATATCCATCCATC